TTGGAGGGGGAGGCGCCTGATAGCATGGACCACAGGGAGGGGGACGAGCCGGCCGGGGAGGACGAGGAGCTGGAGGTGTACGCTGTCGAGGCAGTGGTAGGCGTGATGTACAGATCTACCGAGCCGTAATTCGTGGGGTGCGCGCCGCCGGCACAGAGATCGCGGTCTGTGCACTCGCCTCCCTGGCAAGGGACTGCGACGTCAGTAAGGATGGAAAGTCCTAACCCCTTCCCCTGAGACTTTTTCCCTTCCACCTTGCAAGACTCTTCCTGGACTAGCTTTGACTCCTTCCTGGTTCCTTGTCCTCACTTTGAGTGAAGACTGCGGCCTGCGCACAGCTTGTGCTGCTCAATTTTTTCTGGACGCTTCTTGGGCCTCCGCCTCCAGCACGTCCGCCCCTCGATGGTGGCAATTAAGAAGCCTTCCGTGGCCGCGATTTATTTTCTTGTTTGATATGTAGGAAAGAATTACAATAGACATTAAATCTTGGCTGATCGGTACACTTCGGCTCAACATGCCGCATACTCGCCCTGCGTCACTCCACGCGCATGTGGGTTCTTTTTCACATTGTTCTCCTTCCTTCCTAGCGGTACCGCATGCATGTCTATAAATGGCGGCTAGCGCCAGGTATGCCACTAAACAGCGCCTAACAAGAACATACACTCTCACCTGTACTTTCCGGTGCATGCTGGGTTTGCGGTCTCGGACGCACAAGATGTGCCCCGCGTGAGCCGTTACTCGCTGTTCAAATACAGAGGCAGAGGGAGGAGGTTATCGGGCTCCCGGGCAAGTCCCAGGGCGTAGTAAACGCAAAGAAAGCACATCCTTCCGACCTTATCCTTGTGTGTTTATTTAAATTGGCTGATTGCTCATTTGACGAGCGGTCAATCGATCGAAGGTGGCATCTCTTTGGGCTCTTCCAGGTACCTGACGCTCCTCGCTCGTATTGGCCTTTTTTCTTCCTACTTATGTATATTTTTGGATTTGATCAATGATGCGCTCTCTATGTCCTTCTAACACTTTATTCGACTATATGGATATTTTTAGGTCAAATTACTCCTCATCCAGTTCTATTGATGTTCGTTTTGATAGGTAGCCAACAACTTTCAATTCTACTGAATCCTGCCAAATATACTCGCTCTATTTCTATGGCATGCGGGAAAGATATTGCGCAAAGGGGCTGATCGGTGGCTTAAGCGCACCGACTGAAAACGACAGGGAAAGGATTCATAATATTTCCGCCGTCTGCAACAGCTTGTCCTTCGTGCTCCTCGTCCACCGCCCTCTAACCCCTCCTCTCACACCCTCTCAAACGACGAGCTCTTGGAGCGTCAGGAACACGTCGTACGACATTCTTCTTTTAACGTAATGAGCGACGGCGCTGTCCACGGAGGCAGCCTGCCTCGCCTTGTCCTGAGCCTCCTCCTCTTCCCCCTCCCTCCTCGGCGTCGTCGTAGACATTTGTCGGCAAAAGGGGGATGCGAAAGCCGTCGAAAAGGCGTGGAAGTAAGGAGGTAGGACGGAGGGCTGAGAGGGGGAGGTAGAGGGGGGGGCTGCGAAGTAGAGGGAGGGGCAGTCGAAGAGCACTTTCTCCTCCCGGCCGTCCCCGCCCTCCCCCACTTCCTCTTCCTCCTCCTCCTCCAACTCCTCGCAGGCATCGGAGAAGGAGTATAGAGGGCTCCTGAGCTCACATGCTTCCGACTCCCACCCCGTGCCCCCCCCCTCCTCCTTCAGGTCCTGCTTCCCGTCCTCGGTCTCGACGACCTCCTCGTCCAGATCGGGCTGGGGAGAAAGGGAGGAAAAACATAGGAAGGGATGAGGAGGGAGGGAGGAAAAGCATAAAATATGAGGAGGAGTGAGGAGGGACAGAGCGTAAAAAATCGGATAGGCCGTACCTCGGGCTGCATGTAGGGCCATCTCTCTTTCGCCCCCCGTACCCTCTCCGTCAGCCACCTCGGCATGCCCCTTAAGGTATCTTCAAGCACATGGGCCCACGCCTCGCCCTCTCGGAGGAGGCGCCGGGCTCGTCGCATCAGGTAGGCCTTCTCCGCCATCTCGAGGAGGGCGACGCACTCGGGGTTGTTGCGTTCTCTGGCCATGTCTGGAGGAA